TCTTAAGAGCAAAAGTATAAGGAAACAAAACACAGAGAGCTGCTTTGCTGAAGAATAATGAGCAGTTAAAACTTAAGTCCACTGTTTTCGTCCTGAAAATTTGGTTCTATAGGTAGCCAAATGCTTTCTCTGTAAAGGACATAGTGATGGTAAATTTTTAAAAATAGTTTTTTTCTCCTTCAAAAAGGAAAAAAAAAAAAACAACTTTCTTTAAGGTTCCCATTCGGATATATACGCTATTGGCTTGGGTTTTATTTACTTGTTATTAGGATATCTGTGCTTATTCATCCTGCGGCCAGAAATTTTCTGTTGGATGATTGATATTCTTCAAAAGTATAATATTAATTCACATTTTCCATTGACTTCTCTAATAGAAGAGAAGCAGTTTTCTAGAATCCATTTGAAATTTACTAACAATCATGGCTGTTACAGTTTAATTGTTCTGTGCCTAAAAACAGGTAATAAACATGTTCAGTTTGGAAGGGCGTTTTGCTATTCGCCATCCATAGTAACTTTTTACACCAGGAGTTTTCCTTGCATTTTCATCTCTGAATTTCGCAAGGTATATATTAGAGGATTCAACATGGGAGTGACAATTGTATAAAACACAGTCACGTATTTGTCAATGGGAAAGTTGGAGACAGGTCTAACATATATGAAAATACAGGGAACAAAAAAGAGGACAACTACAGTGATGTGGGAGCTGCAGGTGGACAGGGCCTTACCCCTCCCTTCCTCACTGTACCTTGTAAGGGAGCTTAAAATCACTCCGTAGGAGATGAGTAGAAGGGTAAAGACGACCGTGCACATGGCTCCACCATTGGCAACCACAGTGAGACCTATAAAGTAGGTGTCAGTGCATGCAAGTTCCAGTAATGGGTACATGTCACAGAAGAAGTGGTCGATGACATTGGGGCCACAGAAGGGGAGACTGTATACAACGACAATTTGGAGCACAGAGTGCATCAAACCTCCAACCCAGGCCACCACCAACAGAAGGACGCAAACCCGTCGATTCATGATGGTAAAATAGTGCAGAGGCTTACAGATGGCCACGTAGCGGTCATAGGCCATTGCCACAAGAAGGACGATCTCAGATCCACCAAACACATGATCGATAAAGAGCTGCCCCATGCATGCTGGGAAGGAAATCGTCTTTTTATCACAAATTAGGTCTACAAGTAATGTGGGTGACATGACAGTAGCATAAGCAGCATCCATGAATGAAAGAGAGGCCAGGAAGAAGTACATTGGGGAGCCCAAGGAGGGGCTGCTGATAACAGTCACCACGATGAGCAGGTTGCCCACCATCGTCACAATGTATGTGAGTAAAAACATCACAAATAATGCTTTTTGCCCGTCAGGATCCTGAGTGAAGCCCAGGAGGACAAATTCTGTCACATTGTTACTCCCTCCCATTTACTCTTCTGTAAGGCTTCTATGAGAGCTGAGAGCTCAGGAGAACATCACCTGTAATGAAATGGTGAACAGGACTATGAACACATGCACGATGTCATGGAGCACATCTTCATTATCAGACTCTCAGCAGTGGTTTAGGTACAATGAACATCCAGTTAGTTCCAGTTAGTTCCTCTTTTAAGCTCACACTAGACCTTGCTTTAACAACTCCTTTTTCTCAGATGATTTTGTTTAGGTCCTACAAGTAAAAGTTTCTATCTCTAAGTCTTAGTTGATACTCTATAGAGAAGAATAGTTAAAGGCCCTGAAATATTCATACATTTATTAATTCCAAATGGAAATTATGTTATAGCTTGTGTCAGACATCAGCTGTGAAGAACAGGGAAAGGGTTCTGGCTTTCCAGAAACTTACACTCTGGTGGTGACAGTAAACCCTAAATAAATAAATTGGCATAGGGTCAGTCCTTTGAATTTGTGGCAGTTGTGGTATCTTTACAATATTATCAGTGTAGCACCAAACATAACCTCTTCTGAAATATTGTGCACACAATACTACAGTAATCCACTGCTGTAGCTTTGATACCTCATGCCTTAAGGATCCTCTCTCTTATTGAATCTCTCAGTACATATCAAGTGACAGGACTTTTTTTTTTTTTTTTTTTTTTTTTTTTTTTTTTGAGACAGAGTCTCACTTTGTTGCCCAGGCTAGAGTGAGTGCCGTGGCGTAGCTCACAGCAACCTCAAACTCCTGGGCTCGAGTGATCCTTCTGCCTCAGCCTCCCGGGTAGCTGGGACTACAGGCATGCGCCACCATGCCCGGCTAATTTTTTATATATATATCAGTTGGCCAATTAATTTCTTTGTATTTATAGTAGAGACGGGGTCTCACTCTTGCTCAGGCTGGTTTTGAACTCCTGACCTTGAGCAATCCGCCCGCCTCGGCCTCCCAAGAGCTAGGATTACAGGCGTGAGCCACAGCGCCCGGCCAAGTGACAGGACTTTGAACTGTATTAAACAATTACAAAAATTTTTAGGACTTTATTTTTATGTCTGACTCAAATTGTTTGCTTTTTAAGAAACTGTAATTCTGTTCAATCCCTCTGTACTGATAGTACAATTCCTAACACACTCACATACACCACTATTCTGATTTTTAGCAAATAATTCTGAACTGAATTGAACTTACTGATAGCTATCACCACCTCATTAACAGCTAGTAGTTTTTTTCAAAACTCTTTGGGTGAGCTAGGTAGTGAGGGAGGAGAAAATAGATACTGAAAAGAGAGGTAAATATCAATGGGACAGTGGTTTATAATGCTGTGTAGGCACTGTGAATGGTTAAAATTAGAAATTCAAGAACCAGATTCCAAAGAGAATCAACTCAATGATAATTCCAAGCTCAGTGTAAGAAGACATGGAATTGAGTGATTTTCTAAATGTTTTCACGTCTGTCTCTGTCTCCGTTTGCTTATTGGAAAATAATGGGATTGAAAAATACGGTCTCAGAACCCTTTCCATTTGAAACTGTCTATCATACTATGACTACAGCCCTGCTTTATTTTACTCTGCTCAAATTTTGTTTCATTTTTCCTGTTTTTTTATAATTAAATAACAATATCCCAGATTATCACTGTTCGTTGCAAAATGTAAGCCAGTGGCAAATGGAATTTGATCATTACAGTGAGCAAATAATGTCTATATGCTTCTCATCAGGGTGTACCTATTTATGATCAAAGACTTCCTGGGAGAGAAAGCACAGCACAGTACTGAACAATGTGTATTCTGGAGCCACATTGCCCCTGCTGCAATCCTAGCATCACCACTTACTATGTGACATGGAGCTGCTTAATAACCCTCTCTGTGCTTCAGTGTCATTGTTTTTATAATGAGGATACCCATAGTGCTTGCCTCTTAGGGTTGTTTGTATTACAACAAAGAGAAGTGCCTAGCACAGTGCTTGGTCCCCAGTAGAGATTCAATAAAAGAGAACTATTATTAGTGGTCTTGAATGCTTCACTGTGAACATTGGATCAGAACTAATCATCTGGATATTGGTCAGCATGAAAGGAATTATATACATTGTCCAAGACAACATGAAGAGTTTACCCATAACTCATTAATTTTTTTCTGGACATACAATAAATTATATATGTTAGGAATTACCTGTCCAATTATAGAGGAGTAGTAATTTTACCTGTTCTGGGATGGACTTTGATGAGAAGCATGCAGAGTAACAGGGCAGAAGTTGGACCCTTCACCAGACAGAGAGCTTCGTAGCAGAAAATGAGAGAAAAGAAGGATCAAATTGGGAAACAGAGAAATTAGATTTAATAAATGAATGTTCACAAGTAATAGGAGGATTAATGTGATAATTAAATGAAATTAGCATTCTTTTAAACATCTTCTTCAGAAATATTTTTTTGTGGCAGGAAATACTGGGAATTCAACCTGCTGAGGTGCCTGGAAATACACAAGAGGCTTCATGGGGCAGCCATAACATATAAAGACAGACCAGATCCTAGTAAAGCAAACTTTTAAATATTCCAAAGTAATAAATCATTAATTTCCTAAAGTTTCTAGATCTGAAGGTTAAGGACAAAGTTAAAGAACAGAGAAGAATGGGACAAATATTAATACAAACCCCAAATTTCTAGTTATTCACTGCTGAGGAAATTACAGAATTAATAAACCTCCCACGTTGATAAGATGATTCCGTTTACATGGATTTGGCAGTGAGAGACGTCATGTGTATGAAGAGTGTGAGCTCTCTCTAGAAGCTCATTGTGATGAAAATTCTACACGTCTCAGTTACATAATATAGGACTTCTGTCACTTCTGAAGCTATAGACTGATAAAGCTATAACTGTCAAAAAGGTGACTGTAATGTAGTCTGTATGCAAATCTCTATTTTGATCTGCACCTCACTTTCTGCAACGTTTAGAGCCTTTTCTCTCTTTAATCATCAGTGGCCAATTTCACCAGGATAAATCTTCCACTGGACAATTTAAATATTATATTTACTTTTAAACGTAGGCTACATAAACTATCCTCTAAAGGTAAAGTCATCAAAGATTTAATACTCTAAAAACCAAAAGATAGTATTACTAGGCTTTCAACTTAAAACAATAAGTTAACACTTTTATAGAAGAAAAATAATTTAACATAGTTTCTTAAGGACATGGCATTTTAAAAGATAAATTCTCATGCTAGCAATAATACTCTCTATAGTATTTTAAAATTATAGTCTTGTACATCTTTATAAATGACAGTAGACAAGGTACTTCCTTGAGCAAGGGTTTCTACATATATATATATATATATATATACTAACATATCTTCTGAGATAATTTTTAGATTCATATATAAAAGCCCCTATCTTGCTTCCAGAACATAATAGGTATTTGTTATTTATACTCTAACATATTTTGTATGATATGCAATTTGAAATTCTCTAATTCAAATATATCTACAATCAATCTACAGCTTTGTTAAGACATCATAAAAAATATCGTATTCCCCAAACTGAGATTATAATCCATTGGTTTATCTGTTATACACGTAACATGAAATGTATTTCTCTTTTTATTTGACAGAATGGAAAGTAAACACCTAACAGGATACACATGAAAAGAAATCCACTTTGTATATTCTGATTAATTTCTGTGTTTTGGTAGCTTAATTTTTCCAATTCAGATTTCACCAATGAAAACATATAACATTTGAGATATAATGCATATTTCAACATATCACAGGAATTTTCAATGAGTAACCCATATCTGTTGTTTCAAGAACTTACATCTTTGATCTTGTTCTTGGTCTGGAAAAATCAATGCTTCTTTCACTGACTGTAATGGTAGATACCTCATGCATCCATGTATGATCATGAAATACATGGTAATATGTGGATGATGATTGAATCTCAAAATAGATCCCAGTGGCTACAGTTTCCATATCTACATTGGCTTCCCATTATCTCATTCTTTCAGAGAGATGCAGAAGTATCCAAAGAACATGTCTAAAATATAAACACAAGTCACTTAAACATAATGCCAATATATACTGTACAAAGGTAGTTGCATATTCTCCCCTGATGAGACTATTCGTTAATAGGAAAGTAGAGATGCAATGTTGGCATGACTATGTAAAAATAGATATAATTAGTGGAAATTAACATGACCAACCCCATTACTGACGGCAAAAATAAATAACAAATTTATAAACACTAAATTGAATTACCGTATTTTTCTCCTCCCTATTATGACAAAACTGTAAAAAAGCACTTTACTTTGATGGAGCATTTATTATAACATTCATCTGCTTAGCTACTAACTTCTGTACCTAACAAGGCAATTTCTGGGACTAACTTCTTGGACAAGGCAATAACAGAATTTTCTCACAGGTAGAAGAATAATTCTTTAGTTTTTTAGTCATTCAAATAGAATATCCCTATGACCACTGCTTTACTAATTAAAATATCTCCCTCTATCTTTCCAATCTCATCCCAGAAAATCTAAACCTTCCACAAATTCATACAAGTAATGAAGGACAAAAAAAGAAAACATCACAGCAATAGGAATACATACCATCTGGACACATATTCCAACTTTTGATAAAAATTGAGTTTTCCAAAATCTCTTAGGGTTATTTATCAGGGAAATAATTCTTCCATTTACATGTGCAGACAGAGTTTGTGACTTTTCAAATCATCACTCTTTTAAATGAAAGAGACTGTAAGGTCATCACACATGAGTTAATTAGAATATTTGGGAAAACTTCAGATGAAGTAATCTCTCTGAACAGTTTTCTTCCAATATCCAGTAGTTCCTTTTTAGCTCACACTAGACGCTAAAACGCTCAATGGTTGTTTTACGGGTCCTACAAGTAAAAGTGTTCTCGTTAGTCTAGTTGATTACGCTATAGAGAAAGAAAGAAAGGCCCTGAAATTATTCATAACTTTATTAAAATGAAAGTTACAGCTTCGCAGAATTCAGCTGTGAAGAACAGGGAAAGGTGGCTTTCGAAACGTTACATTCTGGTGGGACGTACTCCCCTAAATAAATAATATTGCATAGAGTCATCCTTTGAATGTGGCAGTTGTGGGTTCTTGTTACGTAACAGAGCACCAAAACAAACCTCTGAAAGACGTGCACACAACTACATAATCCACTGGTCATAGCTTTGATTACCTCATTGCCTTAAGGATTCTCTGTCTTTTGACTCTCAAGTAGAACAAGTGACAGCGACTTTGAACGTATAAACATTCAAAATAGGACTATTTAGATTCTGACTCAAATGTTGTAAAGCCTGTAACGTAATCCCTCTATACTGTAGTAGCATTCCAACACATCACGAACACTTCTTATAGCAAAAATCGAACTGAATTGAACTTATGATAGCTATCACCATCCAAACAGCTAAGTAGTTTTTTTCAAAACCTGGTTGGGTGAGCTAGGCATGTGAGGGAGGAGGAAAATAGTTACTTGAAAGATATGAAAGATCAACTGGGGCAGTGGTTTATTTATAATGCTGTGTTAGGCACTGTGAATGATTAAAATTAGAAATTTCAAGAACCAGGATCCAAAAGAGAATCAACTCAATGATAATTCCAATCTCAGTGTAAGAAGACATGGATATCTGAGTTGATTTCTAAATGTATTTCACGTTCTGTCTCTGTCTCGTTTGGCTTATGGAAAGATCAATGGGATTGAAAAATATGGTCTCAGAACCCTTCCATTTGAAACGTGTTATCATACTATGACTGCAGCCCTGCTTTATTCTACTCTGCTTCAAATTTTGTTTGTCATTTTCCTGTTTTTTTATAAATTAAATAACAATTCCAGATTATTTCATGGTTCGTTGCCAAAATGTAACCATGTGGGCAGAATGGAATTTGATCATTACAGTGAGCAAATTAATGTTATATGCTTGCTCATCAGCGGTGTAACTATTTATGATCAAGACTTCCTGGGTAGAGAGCACCAGCACAGTAACTGAACATGTGTACTCTGAGCACATTGGCCTCTGTGCAATCCCAGCATCACCACTTACTATGTGACAGGACTGCTTAATAAAACTGCTCTGTGCTTCACGTGTCATTGTTTTGATGATGAGGATAACCCATAGTGGCTTGCCTCTTAGGGTTGTTTGTATTAACAAAGAGAAGCTGCCCTCAGCACAGTGCTTCGCGTCCCCAGTAGGAGTTCAATAAAAGAGAACTATATTTACGTCTGATGCCTTTCACTTGTGAATATTGGGATGAGAAACTAATCATTGGATATTGGTTCAGCATTGAAAGGAATTAGTTATACATCTGTCCGAAGCAAAAATGAAGAGTTTACCCATAACTATTAATTTCTTTCTGGCATACAATAAATTATATCGATTGTTAGAATTACCTGTTCCAAGTTATTAGAGGAGTAGTTAATGTTTACCTGTCTGCGGATGGACTTTGATGAGAAGCATGCAGAGTAACAGGGCCAGAAGTGGGACCTTCACCAGACGGAGACGGCTTGCGTAACAGCAAAATGAAAGCAAAAGAAGGGATCAAATTTGGGAAACAGTAAGAAATAGAGTTGATAACGTATGAATTCGTTTACACCAGAGTTTTTCCATAGCATTTTTCATCTCTGAATTTCTCAAGGTATATATTAAAGGATTCAACATGGGAGTCACAACTGTATAAACCACAGTCATGGATTTATCAATGGGAAAGTTGGAGACAGGTCTGACATACATGAAAATACAGGGGACAAAAAAGAGGGCAACCACGGTGATGTGGGAGGTGCAGGTAGACAGGGCTTTTCTCCTCCCTTCCTGACTGTAGCTTTTAAGGGAGATTAGAATGACTCCATAGGAAATGAGCAGAAGGGTAAAGATGACCATGCAGATGGTTCCACCATTGGCAACCATAATGATACCTATAAAGTAGGTGTCAGTACACGCAAGTTCCAATAATGGGTAGATGTCACAGAAGAAATGGTCGATGACATTGGTGCCACAGAAGGGGAGATTGTATACAAAGACAATTTGGACCAAAGAGTGCACAAAACCTCCAACCCAGGCCACCACCAGCAGAAGGATGCAAACCTGTCGATTCATGATGGTCAAATAGTGCAGAGGCTTACAGATGGCCACGTAGCGATCATAGGCCATCGCCACCAGAAGGAAGACCTCAGCTCCACCAAACAAGTGTTCTAGAAACAGCTGTCCCATACATGTTGGGAAGGAAATCGTCTTTTTATCACAGAGTAGGTCTACAAGCAATTTGGGGGAAATGTTAGTGGAATAAGCAACATCGATGAGTGATAGGGCGGCCAGGAAGAAGTACATTGGGGAGCCCAAGGAGGGGCTGCTGATAACTGTCACCGCGATGAGCAGGTTGCCCACCATCGTCACAATGTATGAGAGTAAAAACATCACAAATAATGCTTTTTGCCCATCAGGATCTTGAGTGAGGCCCAGGAGGACAAATTCTGTCACATTGTTACTCCCTCCCATTTACTCTTCTGTACGGCTTGCATCAGAGCTAAGAGCACAGGAGAACAGCACCTGTAAGCAAATTGTGAACCGGACTATGAACACATTGATGATGTCAGGGAGCACATCTTCATCATCATACCTTGAACATTTGTTTATGTGCCATGTATGTTTAGTAAGTATCTATCCAGTTCCTCTTCTAAAGATAGACAGACCTGCCATTAATAATTTTATTTTTCCTCAGATGATTTTGTT